GTACTGGTAACCAATTGTGATAATCCGCCACGAAGTACCACAGCCAACTTGTGTTCGCGTACGCGCGCGATCCAAGCATGCATTCAGGCTGTCCGGTTTAGTTGTGAGGACAGTGCAGGTACGGGATACGATACGCTGCACCCAACCGCTCATTAGGATTTAACCGGCGCTTGTTTTTATGACCTTACTGCACATGAGAGCTTTGAGTCGACTCAGATGAATAAAAACATAAGTCCGGTGGGCGAACAGCCTTCGTCTTCCTAAAACACTTAGAATACCAAGATTCGCCTTAATTCTCTTACATGTCCGTCAGTAAACTGTCCCAAGTTAGCTTATCATTTCCACTATTTCGCAGGGGCAACATTAAGTCAGGAAAGTTGTGAGTGGTATTGAGTACAGTCTGCGGCGGCATCTGCCACAAGTGCTCGAGTACTGTTTCAACTGGAAAACTGGTTGGGCGGACAATTCGGAACCTTAAAGGTAAGCAGCAATTATTTTGTTGATTTTACAAAGCGCAAGTGCAGAGTTTTGTTAAAGGTTTGTTTAAAACATAAAAAGTATTTTTAGCAGCGTTGGGTACAGTTAGCGGCGGGAGTTTATGCATAACAGAAAGCCGATCTAACCTGTGCTGCTAGTATTGTAAATAATTATGCAAGTTGTACCACTGACTGCTTGTTGGCAGCTTGCGGATACTACGTGGTTATCCCGACAGTGACAGATGGACTTCGGCCCATATATGGATATCAATTTTCGGTCCACGCCTGTAGATCCCTGCATACACTGATCTACTCTTAAAAAAATTTCCGAGCAAAGTAGAAAGAAACTACAATCTCACCTAACGTCTCCACAAGGTCATCCCAATTGAGAGCCGTCCTGTCGACTTTGTGAAAGAATTGCATGTGGCGGGCACAAGAGGCGCGCTGGAGGAAACGACGCTCACAGATATTGCATCTGGGGAATACACAGACAGACAGGGTAGCGGTGTATGCAGGAAAGAGCGGGGGGG